TAAGATTACTTTTTACACCACAGATATTTTAAACAGTGTATAATAATAAAGCAATATCGGCTTTAACATTGCCTTCTTTAATAATTAGATAAGGCAATGCCTTAACAGAGTATAAGCAGCCATCTCTTGTCGTCGTAAGTACGAATTGACTGTGATTTAATATTTAACGAATCGGGCAAACGAGTGTAAATTTAAATGACGTAAGTTAAATATAAACTAAACCCTTAATAGGGAGCAAGCCAGAAAAGTATATTTCTTCAGTTTTAAATTTACTCTTTTGTAACAAACATCTGTGTTTTATGGAAAAAAGCAGCATTAAAAATTAAATAAATTCTTTATCATAAACTAATTTGTACTAAACAATTTGTCTTTTAGATGCAGAGGAAGCCATTTCAATAAAAGTGTTGTGCACACTAACACCGGAGAATTTTAAGGAGCTAGTTCCAAAATTAGGAGAGATGATGTATCCTTATTAACCAAATATCCTATATGATCATACGTACACTTTACCCGAACGAATTCGTTTGCAACTGTTCTTTCGCCTTTTAGAATATTATTTAGTTTTTATGAAGTTACAGAATGTGCAATGTTTTTTTATATTTTTATAAAATATTTAAATAAATCAATATTATTTACATTAACTGTTTTATTGCCAACATTTGATAAGTTGATATTAAAATTGCATTAGTTTATAATTAAGTCAACACCAGAACTACCATAGATTTAAGAATCTAATATTAATATAAAGTAAGTGACATAAAGATTTATAAGATTTCTATTACCAAGTTATTAGTTAACATTTAACTCAATAAAACTACACACTAATTAATAAGTTGTTATTAAGCGCCGCTAGTTAACAATTACTACAACCACTGTTAAGATTAATATCGAGCATTTAATAATTACCTACGATTTAGTGCAACAGTTAAATGATTTAGTTTAAAAATAATACATGATGAATTAGAATTTCTCCAACGAACCATATTTTAGAATCAAACTCACATTATGTGCGCCCTATTCTAAGTTGTAGCTCGTTAGAAATTAACCAGTTACTTTAACAGTTAACGACCATTTTTCTTAGTGCAAGTATTGTACTAATAACCCATGCCTCATTCATGAACTCCAATTGAATGAGGTCATTACTAATACCCTGGTTGAGGGGGTCCGGATTGTACTTAGTTTTGGGTCAGTTCAAGGCCCCAAAAAACCAACTGTTGTCCCTCCTTGGCCTAGACTCCACTAGCCTAAATCGGGCGTATGGTCGGCCCGGTGACAAAATTTCGGGAATGGCCTTTACCATCGACACTGTCATCCACGACCTCTTGCCGGGGTGAAAATTCGGATCCACCAAACACAGGTAACGCTGTGCAGTGGCGGGATACGTATAGAACCGAAAGGGGGTAAAATAACCCTGGAAGATCAGTGTAAGGCGTAGCCGATGGGGCCTGCCATACGTTCTTATACTCATACTCACTTTATACATCTACCTCTCCTCACTCATTACTTTTTAATTTTTGTCGTCATGACCCAAAACGCATACAACCTAATAATTATTAATACCCGCGGGTATTAATAATAATAATAATAATAATTATTAATTATTAGGTTGTATGCCCAATGATCATCGAGTAGAATAATAGTAGAAAAGGAACCTTGGGAATGAATTAAATAAACCTTGAGAATCGAATTAAAAGTTTTAATTTTCCCAATATTTTAATTAACATATTTATTCTATGAATAATTTTTCTACCTGGCTAGTCATGAGAAAATATTTTAACATGTTTACCTATTTTAATTAGCATAAAAATATTCAATATTTGGAAAACAATATATATTCTGTGCACATTTAATTTAAAAAAGTAAAACCATTAAAAAAACAATAAAACTATCTTCCAAAATATAAGATGCTTCTAAAGGCCGTATTAAAGCCGGCAATTCTTCTTGCATCAATTTTTCTCGCAGCATTGTTTTTTGCCTTCAAGTTTTCAAGGCCGTATTGCATGTTGTTTTAAAAACTTTAAATGCGATTTTCAAGAAATTACTAATTTCTTGAACAAAACGGGATAGCTTTTCCTTTGAAGAATATGAATTAAAAACTGGTTCTGATTGCACAGGGTATAAAAATGAAACACGAACTATCAAAACTAACCTAATTTCAAATTCAGAACCAGCTTTTAATTCATTTTCTTCAAAGGAAAAGCTATTTCGTTTTGTTCTTATGAAGCTTGTACATGTGAAACTATAGTGTACTTATTGATGTCACAAAACTAATTATTGTCAAAGTAACCCGTGATGTTTTATTAGAAATTGTATAATTTTAAATGGTACACTTACACTGACATTGACATTGTATATTAAGTTTTGCATACGCATGCGCATCAATGGTTCTGCGCTGGTTACTTTTTTCTTTTCTTTGTGTATGAGGGTCATTTCCAAGAAACACCCGCTTTCAAGAAAATGAAGATCAAAATTTTTTTTGCTTAAATTGACTTTTGGTTGGATTTTTATAAATGTTTAGAGTTTTGTTTACTTACATTTAAGACGGGCAGTGCACTTTTTAATTTTTTGTATGCCTTTTTAAAATATTTATGTTAGTTAAGTTACTTTTTAAAAGACACCATTCCGATTCTTTGTTAAAAAAACAATAATAATAATAATAATAATAATAATAATAATAATAATCTTTATTTAATCAATAAGTACAATATAAATTTTATGGGTACAATCTTAACTTAAAAACTAAAGTAGAACTTAAAAATTAAATAAAAAGAAAGTAATCCCCACTAAGCAGGAAAGTTGCTTATTGTGGGTGCTAATAATAACAAATTAATATAGTATATTCTTTATAAAAACATAATTATTTCATATTTATAATGCACATATATTATAGTATTAAGCATCCTTATAATATAATAATAATGATAATAATAATAACCTATAACCACCTATACTACAAATATATTATATAAAAATATGTCATATCAAACCTAAGAGAAGGTCCCATTTTCAATAAAATTTTCAATTTTATGTGGAGATTGTTTAAATAACCAGACTTTAATTTTTTTATTTGTTATGTATTTAGTATAATACCATTAATATTTTCTTTTAGTCACTGTATTAGTGAGTTAAACTCTAATTTATAAACAGATATTACCAAGTGCAAATCATTTTAAGGATTTTTTTTAACAAAAACTAAAAAAAGTAAAGAAATAGACATTGGTATCACAACGGACTGGGGTACACAAAGGACTTAATCAGATAACGTAAAAAAGAAACTATATAGGGTGGTACGATTTTAGAGTTATGCATAAATAAAATCCCTTGTAGTGGTGCTCACTTGCAGAATAACAACTTAGATTTCTAAATTATAGACACCCTTTTTCTTTGACTATAAGCTGGTGTCTTTTAGTACTTGTATATTGCGTGGAATTTTCCCTTGGATGTAATCTATATCATGAGTTAATTGGGTTTATCATAAACTACTTTTAATAAAAGCGACGGTAAATATCCACTTTGTTGTCGAAAAATTCTATTGCGTTACCCTAAATTCCATTGCGTTACCATAAGGTAACGTAATGGACTCGGTAACGCAGTGGACAAAGTTTTGTGAAACCATATTTAAAAAATAATAATAAAACATTGCACTACAGCTCATTGAGAGTAATTATTGACTGCAGTCAATAATTACTCTCAATGAGCTTTAGTGCCCTAAAATAAACATAAACATTAAAAATAGTATTTTTTCTTACCTTATTTTTATTATTTTTTTGAGTAACTTAGCGGACAGCAATTATTACATTCGCGTTACTCGCACCTGTTTCAACCGATATCTTCTTCCTGATTGAATAAATAAATTCAGCTGTGTAATGTGTACGTCCGAACATCATTTGTTAATCACGTGAATGCCAAAAAAGTTGCCATATATACCTATGTTTTTTAAAATATTCTATCGGTAACGCGATGGACGTAACGCAACGGAAAAAATGTCTGGGACATAAGTAAAATTTAAAAAAAGTAGATTAAAATTAATTAATTTATATATAAATTGTTTATTAACTAAGGGTGTTATGGATTGCTATAAAGCAATACAAAGTTCTGGTTATTCAATATTAAAAAAAACATGTATGTAAGTTTTATAAAACGCTAATGGGACATGCGAAAATGTGTGTTTCACAAGTTTCAAAATTAAAAAAAAATTATTTTGAAATAACTAAACAAACATTTTCTGAAAGAGTTTACTAAGGGCTTGTTAGGCTTTCACTTGGTTTTTAAATCAATAAGATCCGATAATTTTTAACAAAGTTATTGGAGTTCAAACTTACGGACAGCGGAAGGCGGGTGTTTTTTGAAAACGACCCATGCATGACGTCATTCTTGAGGTTTAAAATGTACATTAAACGTTATATTAATAATATATACTTAAGGTTTAATAAAATTATTATAAAAGAGCAAAATAATATTTAGTAAAGTCATGTTCGAAAGAAATATATCAATAACTTTTGATATCATTTTGTTTAATGTTGAAATTTACATATTGTAGTTTTATTTGAAACTCCCAAAATATTTTATTCAATTAGTTAACAGTCAGTCAAATTACAGCTGTTAAAAGCGAATCCATAATTTATTTGAGCGCACGCGTTTAAGAGCAGGATTTTAGAGACAGTGTTGCAAATTCGTAATATGTTTTATAAAAGTACGACGCAAAATAAAAAAATAGGTTTTTTATATTAAGTTTTAAAACTTTAAATTTGTAACAATAAAAAAGGCAATTTTAAAAATATTAAAAATAAAAAATAATAATTATTTTATTATTATTCTTAAGTATAGATTATTAATTTATAGCACACTAGGTACACCTACATATATGTATGTACATTTTTAATTATTATTTGAGCTTTTTAAGATGTTTTTACATTTGTTTTATTTTTGCATCATTAATTTAAAACAAGGACTCATTGCAGGAATTTCATGTGGATAATCTGACAACGCAGCCAAAGGATATTTAGGTCCTTTTGGTGCAATGTAAAATAAGGGCTTTTCGTGATATATATACCTACGTCATTGTTTACGGAAGTGTACAATGTGTCGAATTAAATTAAATTTTTATAACTACAGTTTAACTTGATAGCAAGTGCGATTTTTAAGATAAAATCTGAATAAAATAATGTTATTTTGCAATAATTTTATACTAACTATTGTGTTGTTTACATCCAGTGTTTTAATTACTTATTCCAAACATACTAAAGAAGGAAAGGAGGGAAAAGAAGGTACCTACCTAAATGTAATATTTAACAATTGGTAGATCTAATTAATTTACCCAATTGGGTATATAATTAAATCATCATTCTTAAACACAACTTGTTTTTTTACTATCCCTACTCTAAATAAAATTTTATTTTATGGACAAAAGCATTACAAGATCAAATTTTATATGATTTAAGTCATAAATAAATATAAATATTTTAAAAGGTACAAGGTAAAAGTATTTTTTAGATATTTCAACATGTTATTCCCCAAAACTACTATTAAAAGGAGCCCAGGAAGGTAGCTCTGACGGAAATATAATAAAAGATTCATTTTCGAACGTAAAGGAAGTGAAATTTTTTGGTTCCATTGGACCTTTGGGGGAGAAACGTCTTTGTAAAATAAAATGCATTGGAGGACAATGGGTTGGACCTTTGTGTATAGATGAACAAGGTAATAATAAATGTCCAAATGTCCATTTATTTTTACCTTTGCTTGATTTTTTTTTAGCCGAAAAAGGAAGATTTCAACCTTTATTTAGAAATTGCAAGTTGGACTATTTAAATCCTCATCTAATGTTAACTTTAAGAAATATCACAATTCAGGTGAGTGGAAATTGTTGGGTGTATTATTTTATTTATTAATTTTTTTGATTTGGTAGGATATTGGGCTAATTTATCCCCATGGGTCCACTCTAAAAATTAGATGTAGGGATATTGGTCTCTACAAACTTTTGGGATCAGCAAATCCAAAATGTGAAAATGGAGTCTGGTCCGCTAGGTTGCCTTCCTGTGTTCCGACTACACTTTTTACAAACTTTACAGGTAAAAAATGAATTCAAATGAGTTTAAAAGTGCAAATTTATAAATGTAAATTTAAGTCGCTTAATGTAAATAAAAATAAAATTTGACAACTGGACCATTTAAAATAAACTGGTGTTTGGTCTAAGGTATAAATAAATTTATTTATATTTTTTAAATAATTTTGGTTAATTTTATATTGTGTTTTTACCCCAAAACATGTTTAAAATTTAAATTTATACAATGGGTATGTAATACACATATTTGATACCTAAGGTTTTTATTTTCTATCGACTGTAAAAATGTAACCTACTTTAAATAAAATTCGGTTAATATTATGTGATAGCCGAAAAATGCTCTTAAATAATAAAGTAGTTTCAAAAGTTTAGTAATCATTTTAAATCAAATTTTAAACATTGGATAAACTTGGCACTAACTTTACGACTATGCATTTAAAATTCCAATAAAAGTTACCGTGTAAGTTATTAACACTCTTAAGATCAATTGATACTAGGGTTTTGAAATTTCCGGAAAAATTTAGCCGGTGGAAAAAAACCGTTTTCCGGAATTTTCAGAATAATTTACTTTTGCATTTTTTTCATTTTATTTAAGGGTGATTCTCCAGAACGGAGCAAATATGCTGAAACTCTTAAATAAAATATACTAATGAAAGTAGTTAGCATTTAAATAACACTACAATGACAGTTTATGTCTAGCAGTAGAACGTAGGTACTTAACCAAAAAAAAAAAACATTATTTATTTTATTAATTTGAATTTGCTTGAATTTGACAGTTTATGTCTAGCAGTAGAACGTACTTAACCAAAAAAATAAAACATTATTTATTTTATTAATTTGAATTTGCTTAAACGCTTTAAAGTCAACTCCATGGACTGTCACCACCTAGCGTAGGGACAACAAATCATCCATATACTATTAGACTAGATGCAATTGTGAAATGATTCTTTCATATTGCATTTCCTCTAACTTGGAATGTATAAAAAAATACAACCAAAAGCAAACTTGATATTTTAACCCAAAATGTCGAATAAAGCATGAGACACCATTTTACAGCTGACTTCTTTGCAGCCTTTTAATATATGATAAATCCCCTGTATAAAACATATTTTAGTAATGTTTGAAGACTTCGTCGTTTGAGTGATTTAGTGTTGATTTGTGTAAGCAAGGCAATGGGGGTGTAATATTTAATAAAAATTTATAAAGAACAATTATTTGCGAAAAAACGGGTAAGTATTTTTATTAAAGATCAACTCCATGTCTTTAATAACAAAGGGATTTAAATACAATTGAAATTTAAACTTTCTCCAGGTGAAATAACCAAATATTCTTTGCTTAAATTACAGTTAACTAAAGATACATTATGTACCACTTTCTAAAGTTTGTGACTTTTACTATAAAAACATCAACTCCATGGACATCAACTCCATGGAGTTAAAAGGTATGTCCATGGAGTTGTTTACTTTCTTATTATTGCCCTAAACTCTTAGCTCATATAAGTTAAGGCATTATTAACGATAATTAATAATATATATATGTAGTTAAATTATAATAAATTTAATTTAATTTTTCTTTAAAAAAAATTTCTAAAAGTATTATTATTATAACTATATGTATATATTAAGTTTAATTTATAGCCGCCTTGAAATTACTTTATGTTATTAAGAAATACACATTGAGGTATTATTTTGCTAGTGTTTTATTAATCTTTGCTTTTTATTTTTTTACCACCCCAATTTATCCCCGTTTTGGATATTCACCCTTAAAGGGTAATACGAAAAAAATTAAAAAGTCAATTTTTCTGAAAATTTACAAATAAGTACACTGATATCAGGAAAAAGTGAATTTTCGACTCCGATTATGATCATAAATAATACATGCCTATTATTATAATTTAGTAAGAATCTTTTACCAGGTCACAAAAAACAAATTCGGTACTGTAACATAACTATCGTTTTATTTGACACATCTATTTAAAAAATTATAATTTTGTAATTTTACTTTATAAATCATTCATTATTTTATATATGGATATTTCAATGGACTCCCTTTTGCAACCGACAGTATATTTACCGTTTAAATTTATTTTCTTAAATCAATTCAATTCAATTTAATTCCATGTTTAGTTTTATTTGTTTTTTTCTGAAATAAATTGAGTATCCTTAAGGATTATTAGTTGATTGCTTTGTATATTAAAAAAATAGTAGATTATGTTATAAGGAGTAGAAGTGACTCTTTTTGTGGTGAGTACATAGATTGACGGCCGAAGCGTAGCTGAGGCAGGCAACTGTACGAAGCACAAAAAGAGCTTCTACTCCAAATAACATCCCTGTTGTAAATGACATATAAAATCATATATGAAAAATCCCTGCTGGTTCCAATATGATACTATATGATTTTTGAAACAGACATTACATATAAGACCATATTCATATTCATTTCTACACAGGCATATAAAAAACTGACCATATACAATTTATTACCTATAAATTCATATTCATTCATATATGATTTAAGATGGATTTTCATATAAATTTCTGTCATATAAAACCATATAAACACATACAGTTCATAATACTGATTACATATTGAATCCATAGTGTCATATAACAAACTATAAAAACATATAGAAACACTGTACTAATTCTATATGTTTCTACTGGTCATTTTCAACAGGGATATACAATTTTTTTTTCAAGGGCATAATATAAAATTTATAGGATAAGCAATAGAATTATTTTATTTACTCATAACTCGTGTGGGATAAAATTTTGGCTAAAAGCATTAGAAATTATTGATAAAAACTAAAAAAACTAATAAACCTTACTTACAATGCCGATAAATATCCGAAACTAGAAACTAAACACTGCTCTGTCAAAATGCTGCGCTTGAATTAATTTTGACGTACTGACATTTGTTTGAAGTTTCGACATTGGCGACTCGTCTATCATCATAATATTATACTAATAAACTAGTTTTTCTTTATTTCGTTCAATTAAAATTTAATAAATAATCACTAAATATTCCGTGCGATTATAATTAATATAATTAATACATCGTGATTGCTTTGTATGAAATGCTAAATTAATTTTATTATTTGACGTTTATTGAGTCACCTATGGATTTACTTCTATCCCTAGGCTTTTTTGAGTTTTTTGTCTGCCGCTAATGAAAAAGACACACTTCAACTATCTCTATACATGCATATAAGGTTGTATATCATGGCCGCTTGAAAAAAAACTCAAAAAAGCCTAGGGATAGAAGTAAATCCATAGGTGTCTCAATAGACGTCAAATAATAAAATTAATTTAGCAGTTCATACAAAGCAATCACGATGTATTAATTATATTAATTATAATCGCACGGAATATTTAGTGATTATTTATTAAATTTTAATTGAACGAAATAAAGAACAACTAGTTTATTAGTATAATATTATGATGATATACGAGTCGCCAATGTCGGAACTCCAAACAAATGGGTGAGTCCATATCAAATCAACCAAAAAAAGGTCACTTTTTTCCCTCACCATCTCCGATTTTGATAATTTTTATTACACTTAATCTACCCATCAAAAAACTCATAAACCTCAAATTTTAATTTTTTTTGACGAGTAGTTTTTGTTTTATTGATTTTTGAAAATCAAAAAATTGCCGATTTTGGTCTTGCAGGTACTTACAAAAATTGCTATATCTCGAAAACTACTCAAAATAAAAAATTGAATAATAGCTTGTTTTAAAGGTCTTTTATATACATTTTTTATGATATGTCACATGACCTAAATTTCTTAAAAAAAAAAATTTTAATATCGAAAAAAAATTTTTTTTTTTAAATCTCAAAAATACCTTTTTTAATTTTTTTCAAAAAAATATATATTTTTTGTGCACATTTTGTTAAGCTATGTACAAAATTTCAAGATGGACACTCAACGGGTTCATGGTGAAAAAAAATATAACGGAACTCACTATCCTACAAAAAATTAATATTTATGGTCATTTCACTCCAAATAATTGATTTTGATTTTGTACCTATGATTTTTTCACTTTTGTTCAGCTGCACGGTGGGCTGGGATACAAATCTAACTGGAAAAAATTAATTACTCCCTCAAAAATTAGCAAAGCACTATTAAAATATTTTTTATTTTTATTTAAGTTAAATATGCGGTTAATATGGCTTTGCTAATTTTTGAGGGAGTAACCCAGCTAGCAAGGTTACGTCATTAGGACGATATTTTAAGGTCACCTTTCGTCGGCGACGTCACATGACCAATAAAAGACGGGTTTATGACGTCACATTTCCGACGTCATTTAGATGTTTTTATGTTGCGTCTTTCTGACGTTTTCAATAGGTGATTTTATATCACGTAACAAATATATAATAATACGTACGTAGTAGGTATAGATCGTACTACCTAATTTTTGAACACCCTGTAGATAAAATCCCAATTTTTTTGTAGACCAAATTTATTTTTTTATCAGAAAAAATAAAAAAAAATCCCTATCATCGATGACACGCAAATCCGTCTATGAACAAATAATTATCTTACAAGACAATAACGAAATACTATTTTAAACAAAGTATTTTTTAATTCTTAATTTAGTTTTACAATTTCATTGCTGTCAATACCTATATAGGTATTTATATTATTCCGAATAAAAAAAAACAGACAAAAATTTGTGTAACTTGTGAAGTGTCGATACATGGCGGGAAGTAAAGAACGCCGTGCTCGATACCACCAATCACAGACTGTGATTCACAGTCAGCTGACCACTGTGAGATCAGCTGACTTTAGTGGCAAGCTGCGATTGCTTTATCATTTCTAACCGTCCATGCTTTGCAACGGTGCACTACCGCGGTGGCGTCTATTCTGTTATTCGGTTAAATTAAGTTAATTAATAACTGTTGTGCAAATCTACAATTAAGTGCAGTAACTGCGGATCAATAGGTAGGTTTTACATAATTATTAAATCATTCTTAATTTATTAACATATACCTATACTAGGTGTT